CAAAAGCTGCGTGTGGTAAAGGCCCTTCAGGCCCGTGTCCCGCCGGGGTTTCCTCGGCGCGGTGCGTCGCCTGCTCCTCCAGCCTGACAGACCTCGCCGCTTCCCCGCTGGCTGTGTCCTGAGATGAGGCTGTGCTGAACGTGCTGCAGTGTGTTGCTGTTTGTGTAAATGGTTGTTAATTTGAGAGGCAGAGGAGTTTTAGTGTGGGATCTCGTTACGGTTTTGGCTGATGGCAGCTTTCCTCACTAGAAATAACTGCCTTCTGGTGTGCGGAGTGGAGACGCGAGGGGTTTGTTGTGCCCTGTGGTGTGTGCCAGCAGCATGCAAGCCAGTGTCGTTGAGAGTGCTCTCATCATGCCTTGTGTGAGATTTTGTTTTCATTCGTGTTCATTTTCCCCGAATAATGCATATATTTTATGAGTTGTTCAGCTGAGATTTTCTGTATTGCATAGTGCAGTAGGTTAACAGTAACTTTGGACTTCCAAAAGCCAACCTAGTGGCTTTGCCTCGTGTTCTTGTTCTGACTGCATTTGTCCCATTGTTTCCCTTTCACAGGAGACACTGGATTTAAACCGTAGAACCCCCCCGTGCTTTGGGAAGTTTGCAGAGATGGAAAAAATGGCAAACATGCGAGCTGAAATCAATGAGGTACAGCCATCACTGCTGTCGGCGTACACCCAACACTTCAGTACTGGGTTCGGCTGGGATAAAGGTCTTTTCTTCCTAGTAGTTGGTGCAGTTGTTGCTTTAGTCTGACAGTAACGTTGGTAACACACCAATGTCTTAGTTATTGTTAAGCAGTGTTTACCCTGATTAAGGACTTGTCAGTCTCATGCTCAGCCAGTGAGGAGGGGCACGAGAAGCCGGGAGGGAGCAGAGTCAGGACCCAAACTGGCCAAAGGGGTATTCCATACCACAGCACGTCATGCCCAGTATAGAAACTGGGGGGAGTTAGCTGGAAGGGGCTCATCACTGCTCAGGACAAGCTGGGTATCGGTCAGTGGGTGATGGGCAATTGCATTCTGCATTACTTGTTCGTTGGGGTTTTTGCTTGGGTTTTTTGGCGGTGTGTGTGTTTAGTTGGGGTTTTTTCCTCTTTCAGTTTTTTCTCTCTCCCCTTCTTATTTCCCTTGTTGTTATTGTTAGTAGTAGTATTAGTATTATATTGTACTTTAATTCTTAAACTTTTCTTAGGCATTTTTCCCCCCCAGTTCTCCTCCCCATATCACTGGCGGTACTTGATTGCCAGCTGGAAAGAAACTATGACAGTGGCACCTGATGATGTATCAGACTGCCATGTGCCATTGTTTCGTGTTTTGGGGTTTTTAGACAGTTTAGCTGGTAAACAGTTGGCACTTCTTCCCCACTGGACTGAGTTGTCATAAAGAAAAGAACAACATTATGAAACAAAAGGTTTCAGTGTAACTGGAAAGATGCAGCAGCCTGCATGTGTTATTGAAGTGTTACCCAAAGTTTTCTGAAGAAACTGAGGAGCAGGTAAGAATTTGTAGTTGACTTCAATTCACAAAAATGTGTTTCTTTATAGGCAACTAAACCATTTGGTTGGTTAGCAAGAGGTAACCTCAGTCATCTCCTACTGCCTGAACTGGCTCTTGGCTTGTATTTTATATGGTGGTGTCTTCTGGACATTTGCTTGCTGGTACAAAAACTGTGTTTATGAAGTTACACAGTGTGGGCTCCAGCAGCTACAAAGCAGCTTATTGCAGCTGCTGCAAAGCAATGTGACAAATTTACCATTTACTTTTTTTGGAGTATGGGTTAAACGGGAGGTATCATCCTGCATTGACAGGCAGAAGGTACAGTTTCCAGCTCCCAGTAAGGTGGCTACTTAGCATCCTTTGCTGGAAGGTTTCACATACAAAGTACCCTCTCTGCTAAATGTTCGATATGGTATGAGTGAAGCACATTAATATGAGTGAAGCACATTTATTTTTGTCCTCTCATCAGTGATCAAGAAAAGCAAAGCAACAGCAGTCTGTGTGTCCTGAGAGACTGACATGTTACCACCCTCGTATGTACTTTCCTCAGTCATCTCTTGTCTAGCCAAGAAGGCCAAAACTCTTTCAGCCACAGGAAGGTATCTGCTGCTCTTGTGCTGGTTTATTTATTGGAAAGAATTAAAGCTGGGAGTTTTCCCTGACAGAGTGTCTCCCACGGCTAAAAAAATACCAACACAACACAAATCCTCCAGAAGGAGGAAACCTGGGGCTGTGAGAGGTTCTTTAGTAGAATGCAGGCCATGAAACTGCTTTGTAGGAGATGTAAGTTTCTGTGTTTAGGAACGAATTGCAGAATCTCTCTTTTTCACCACAAATTCCCAATAAACCACAAATTCTTTAGCTTTTTTTAAACAGTCTTTTCGTATTGACCACTGCCTCCCCAGTCGTCGTAACACTCCAGAGGGCACAGTAACATGCTCTCATGCAAATGCTCCCTCTCTGCTGTCTTCCATACATGTACTCTCCATGCTCCTGCTTTCTCCCTGTCTACTTCCTCTGCCACCCCAAGAGAGGCAACGATACCTGGATAAGTATGTTAAAAATGCATTTTCATTTGATGTTGTTACTGTTGTAGATGAAACTGAAAACTGAAGTCTTGCAGTTGGAGAAGGAGACAGCAGACATTACTCACCCTTTTTACTTAGGTAAGTGTGGTTGTACCTTGGAAAAAACAAGAGTGTTAAATGACTTCAGCAGATTAATGTTTCATCTGAGTACATGATGCTTGTAGAATTCATTGCAGCATATGAGAGGTGGCAGGTGCTTTATGGGCTTGTAATGAACACTTCCATACTATTTAAACTTGCACTTCTGCTGTTGCAGCAGATGCTCGTGTGTAGCTCATTCTCCAAAAAAGTTGGGGGGCTGGACAGCTCAATGCAGCATCAGGAGTTCTGAGACCATCAGTAACCTGATTTGATTCCCTTGGCCTGTGTGCTGCCCTGCTGCTTTTCCAGTAACTCAGGGTATTTTTTCTGCATCTGTATGCCCCTAAAATCACTTGGTATTGTGGAGCATGTGTATTCATTTCGTGTTACTGCGCACTTTCCCCACTGTGATTCAGTGGGTGCTTAAAAACATTCTAGCTTGCTCCTACTGTGTTAGGCTAGTAAAGTATATTGTGATACTGCAGTGCTATGGTATATTCTTAAAAAGTTGGTTTTATCTCAGACAGTTTACTTAAAACTATAGATAATGTAATAAAATTAACAAAGCAGTACCTCTAAAAAGTAGGTATTGTGACTTTGAGCTGCATGCTGATACCAAATCCTATAAACCCTAACAAAAGTCATTCTGACTAATGATCTCTTTCTTGAATGTAAACTGTCCAGTGCAAGAGATCAGACTCTGTTTCTGCCTTTCTCCAGAAAAAAATCTTGCTCTTGTTTTAGCAGGACAATAGGTTCAACTTTGTAATTTTATTTTATAGGCAAAAAGAATGAGATTATGCAAGACATGAACAGACACTTGGAAGCCGTACTGAAAGAGGAGAGGGCTCTTAGAAAGAGATTGCTGAAGCCCAGATGTCAAGAGAGTCTTCCTATTGAGGCTACTTTCCACAAGTAGGCATATAGAAAATAATTGTTCTTTGTTTGCATGAGTCCAATTAATTTGAACTAATAAGCAGTAAAAATTGCATGTTTTCATTCACTTTTCCATTGATTAGAATACAAATAAAAAATGGTAGCAGAACTTCAACTACAAGCTAGTAGTTTAGTCATTGTTCAGTTTGTAGAAAGGTAGTGACTACATATTTTTATGTGTATTTGCTTAGGTTATTGGTCTTGTCTTCTGAAGATTACAGAACAATTTGTGATCTTTTGTTTTAAATAGATGTGTTAAATGGTTGAGTTGTTATGCTTCTCCATAGGCAGGAATTGTTACTTCAGCATTTGGTGTCTTCCTTCCAGTATGACTTGCTCAGAATAAGTGTGTGAATGATTCCCAGGCATGTATAGTACATTTTAAAAAAATAGTCCTTCATATGGTCTAAAAATCTAGTCTAGTTACTGACAAAGTGCATATTCACTTCTGTAATTCCTGCCCTCCTCCTTGCTGAGAGTCACAAAAGAAATGTAATTACAGAGAAATTAATTAGAAAACCCATGGGGTAAAGAATTAAGAGCTTGGAAGTATTAAATCCTCATTGTTTTGCACAACTTTTGAGTAAGGGCTCATTCTTGGTTACAGGGATATAGTAGAGTTGTTGACCGAGGCTGTGACTTTCGTTGAGAAGCTTGAAAACCATTTGCAGGCCATTAGAAGCATCCCTCAGATACCAAACATGGTGAATAATATGGTGAGTAGCAAAAGAACTGAGCCTTCTGTCTCCTCCAGCATTAAGAACTCAATGCTGTTTGGGTGCTTAGGTCATTTTTATATCCTGCTAGGTTGGCAGGGTATATAGGCATGAAATCCTACTCTTCTACTCTTTTCTGCTTCAGGATACTGCTCTGACAAAAACAGAGTTGCTCGTGATAGAATTGGAGGAACTGACAGAGCAAATACTGAAATGGAGAGAACTGCAGAGAACTTCCAACGTCATCAGCAGTACTGCTGAATTGGACTTTGGCTTATCTGTAACCTAAGAAATCATTTTCCTCAAATAGGATGGCTATTCAAAGAATTACCTTTTTACAGTCTTCTGTGAAAACTACAACAGAGTTGTGGTGCTTTAAGGGGATTTTGTAGGTAGTTATGTTTCTGTTCTCATGCAACAGACAGGCTACTGAGAAGACTGTTAAGGAGTTCGTCTTTTGAAATAGTTCGACAGGATTCCCTTGGAGCCTGTAACATCGATGCACATTTGTTTTGATATTTCTTTTGCACTTGCTATAGTGTCTCTGTTTTCTATAGGAATCTTGATAATATGCTGTATTTTGTATGTTGCTATAAAACTTCAATAAAAGCACTAGATTTCAAGAGCTCAGTTTCTTGCTTTTTATTTTGTTACTAAACTGTATAATTAACAGAATGGTGCAAATTCTTGGATCCCAGCTTAGACTTCCGTACGAATTCCAACCAAGAAATTAAACTAGTTTTATGTTACAGTTCATTATGGTTATGATGTGGTTTTGTGGGAAAGCAGGGAATGGACTCAGTGACACATGGTGGGTCTACTGATTGCCAAAACCACGTCTGTGAATCGTGATAAATACATTATTCGGTCTCTGCTTCTCTGCTGTTTGCTCTACTTCCAGTGCCCTGCTTAGAATAAGACTCTTGTTCCACAAGTATGACTGAATTTAGCAAAATCATTCATTGTTCTAGTTTGCAAGCTTAGGGACCTTTACATCCTGAAAAGACCTGCTGGTAAAACATCACTGGCCAGACATCTATAAACCGGCATAGTGGTCGTCTCTGGAGGATGTCCAGTTTTGTATGCAGGATGCAGAGCAAACTGGAAGTGGTGCAGATGTATTCCTTTCTACCCTCCTATTGTTTAGTTATCCAAATTATTCCTATGTCCAGTCTGTAGCTGATTGCTGTTCCTGAAAATGAGCTCTTCGCTTTTTGGAAGTAACCAGTAGGTGGCTCAGTAATACACAAATTTCACCATAGTTTATCTGATTATTGCTTAAAACCTTAAAGTAGAATTAAGGAAGAAGCCTTTGGCTCTTTGTTGAGCACACTGATCTCACTGACTTGTAATTGGTCTACTCTATAGCTGAAATTTTCTGAGAATCCCATTTTAATCTCTAGGCTACATCATTTTGCTGGGTGTGGGGGCAAGGCATATAGCTTAACAATTTTCTAGTGTAGTGTGTAAGTGTAGCTGATGTTCCTCTCTGCTGCTGTTGAGAAAAGCTAAGAGGATAGAAACAATTTGGACTGAGTCAAGCAGAAGGTCAGTAGATAGGATCTGAGAATATAAACTGGTGTTTGAGTCCCACAAGCTTTAATGGGCTCTTTGTGTGAACACTTGCTGTACGTCATCGCAGGATTTGAGTCCAAAGTCCCATATCAGTGTAGTTTCAGATGTGGAAACGAAGGTCTTAACACAATGCGGAGGAGCCGGCGTTTTTACTGGAAATGCATTGCATATTCAGTGAAATGGGAAGAACTAGAATCCAGACTTCTGGATTCACTGTCCAGTGCATCTGTCACAAGCTTAACCCCTCTCACATTGCCTTTCAGGGATGAGTTAGGTCAGGCAAATTAAAGCTGTTGTAATTTAGTGCTTCCAAAAGTGGGATGAAAACGTTTCTGGTTAGTTTGTTTGTTATAATCCGTTGAAGACAAATATGTGGTTTTGCCATATCCCACAGAGTCGAGCATATTTTCTTCTTTTACTGTGTCTGTTACTGGAAGGCTGGCTGTGGATGTGGTAGAGTTTAGCTAATACCATTTGCCATTGATGTACCAAGTCATTCTTTGCTATGATTAAACCATAGAATCATAGAACAGTTTGGGTTGGAAAGGACCTTAAGATCATCCAGTTCCAACCCCCCTGCCATGGGCACTGGTGAACCTACTGAAATAAACAGTGTTTCACAGCTTGTATCTCTTCATCTTAGCATCTCTCTGGTGGGTCATGAATTGGAAGAAGTGTTGGGCTCAAGGGATCCATCCTATTACTTCACTCTGGAAGGTTTCTGTACTATGGTATCTTTTTCATTTAGATTTAATGTTTCTGGAACTTCAGGCAAAGTGTCTCATGAGGAGAACTATACTTAAAGTACACTGTACGTAATAGTACAGTTGAAAGGCAATTTAAGCAAGTTGTTTAAATGGTCTGTTAAACACTCCCGCATGATATTCAGATACAGCTCAGAGTTTTGCAGATTTTGAAATGCAAAACCAGAAAAAATCCAGTTAAAAATGAGTAACAATGTTAGCAAAAACCAAACAGGAATTGTCTGTTGAGCCTGGCATCTTGTTTATACCAATGCTCTCTTCACAGTTATGACAATAGCTGACAGGGACAGTATTCTAAAAGTATGTTTCTTTTCTTTTTAACTTTGTGGGGTTTATATTACTTTTATTAATTCAATTGTTTGACATTGACTTCAATTATAGTCCTTTGGACTATAATTTAGGTAAATTCGTGAAGATTTGGAGGATTTTGAAGGAATTTAAAACACTTGAGAACTTTCCTTTAGCACCGGTAAGGAAGGGATGGATACTCACCTTCCTTAAATTACTGTCAATTTAATTTAAGGTGGAATGCTTTTCACTTTAACCAGTGCTGGTTTTGTGATCGTCCGCAGGTTACCAGAAAGAGAACTGTGATCAAACATAGGGTTAGACCGGCACTTCTTTACTTGTGAAACAGAAGGGGTTCTCTTGGGTAGTCCTTAGCGGGAGTCTTCAGGGGAGGACCCGTTCAATGGGGCTGGCGGCATTAAACTGAGGTAAATCCCGGATTGTTACGCTGCTGCACACGGCAGTTTGGTGGTGCTGCCGCGGGACAGGGGTGATTTTAAGCCTGAAATCACCGTCTCTTGGTTCGGAGGTCCCGGGCGGACCTGTTTTAGCCGGAAAAGCCCGTTTTGGGTGCCTGAGAAGCTGCCGCGGCTGCTCGGGGGGGAGTGTTCCCCATCCCCTCCTCTCCGCCCAGGGAGGTTTCCCTTCCCCCCGGCGGGGGCTGACTGGGCCGGGCTGGGCCGGGTCGGCCCCTCCTCTCCGCCCTGTCCCCGGCTCCGCTCCGCTCCTC